GGAGGGTGTTTTTTCCTTTTTTCTAACTCTTTTTTGTTTTGTTTTCGGAAGGCACCCAGGTCACACGTCGGTTGTTTGAGCTGCTGTGCGGGAGCCTGAACTTCGCCGTGCTGGTCTACCCATTGGGTCAGATCTGGCTTTGGCGGATGTTCTGGTTTCTTTGCGGTCGTCCCTTCTGCCGCTCTCGCAATCGATGGGTTCGGATCCCGGGAGCCTTGCGTCGGCTGCTGCGTCGCCTGTCCTGTGTTGTCCAGTTGCGCTTTTTGCCGTTACCTGCATACCGTGTCTGGGGATGCGCTTTGGGTTGATCCTGTTCCCCTCGTTTCCTGTTTTAGGGCTCAGGTCTGCCAGGTCGTTCCCAGAGTTTTTCAGTCTTCCAGCCTGCAGTCTGTCCTTGTGCCCGTGATGTTTGGACGTTTGCAGCTTTTGCTGCTGTGTTGGTGACATCTAGGGCTCATTTCGGGTGCAGGGATTTGAGGGTCGCACAGGTTCTTGGCTGCCCATTCTTTATGCGGGTCTGCTCCTGTGCGTTCTTGTTGCCTTGGGTCGCAGGTTGCAGCCTGTTGTCTCAACTTCGCGTTGCGGAGTTTGTGGCGGCCAGCTCCCTGGTTAGCCCTTTCTTTTCCTTCTCTTTGGGTATGAAGCTCCAGAGAGCCGTAGGGGCTCCCCACAGAAAACCAGCGTTGAATGTAATGAAACGCCATTTTCTGGGCGAGCCCTGGAGGCTCCCTGGCAACCCTCCTTCCCACTGGTCGGCGGTTTTCTCGCGTTGGTTGAAGTTTAGCTTTCGAACTGAAGCTTGGCAGCCAGCGCAGTAGGTCCGGGGCTCCCCCCTCCCTCTCACGAGGCGGGGAGGGCTGCACGGATGATTGGCACGGCAGTAAAGTGTGATGTTTGCTAGTTTCCTTTGGATTGTAGGGAGTTTCTACCTCTGTTCGTTTTTTTGTTTTAGTTTTTTACCATGTGGAGTTTGTTTTGTTATGCCTACCTTTCTGGGTGCCTAACCCTGGTCGATGGCAGATAAGGAAAACCCCAACCGCAAGGGGGTTTTCCAGGGCCATTGCTCCCTGAAACCTCTCTGAAGGGGCCAGGTTCTGGCACTGGTCCCTGGTAGGTCTGAACTCCTTAGCTAATGTCCCGGTCTAATATAACATACATTAGCCCGATAAACTCCAGGGAGCCGTAGGGGCTCCCCACAGAAAGTGGACGTTGACAGAGCGGTCGTCAGAGCCGGTCAGTGTCACCCGTGCTGACAGGAGGGAGTTGTCACAAAAAATAGTACAGTATCACTTAATTATTTCAATGTCTCTGATTTATTTTTTCTTAGTTTTTTGCAGTAATATTATTCAATAGTATGTATTGTGATATATTTATATAATAAAATGGATGAATCATTGCTATACTCAAAAGTATGGTGTGCATATTAGTGATTCAATTATTACGATCATAAAACAATAAACAAATAGTTTTGCTGTTATTACACTGTATACACAGGTTATATATAAGTATCTGCATGTTTTGTTCACCATAACGAACCACTAAGTTGGTATCAAGAGTCGAAAAGCAACGAGGAGTGACGGAAACACACCAGCCAGCCACTCGTTGCCACTCCCTGAACAACGCCTCACTTGCCCACTTTCTCCTCCCACCATCCTGTTTTATATTTTATTCACAATATACAGACATTATATATAAGTATCTACATGTTTTGTTCACCACAACTGTACAACTAAGCTGATATAGTTAGTTCAGGCACTAAGAGTCGTTGCTACACACAGTCAGCTGATGACTCATTCAAGGTCACACACACTAAACTTTCTCCCCCACCAATACTGTTTGCAGTGTTATTACACTATATACTCATATATAAGTATCTACATGTTGTATGTACCGTTACTGTACACCTAAGCTTGTAGTGTGCCCAAAGAGCATAGTGGCCACCCTCTACACAGCCACACAAATCATGCAGACGTCACCTCCGTCACCCAAATGGCTCCTCCAAACATAATCCTTTTGCTGTATTACACTAATACACACATTATATATAAGTATCTACATTTGTGTTAACCATAGAGACCCGTTGAGCTGGAATGGTGAATGCAGACAATAACAGGTAGCCACACAGTCAGTAAATGATTCTATCTCCCTCCGTCCCTCAGCATCACTCCTCGCACAGCGCTAATTATTACAACGATCCTGCTATTATCACAATCCTGGTCATTTTTATCACAGTTAGGGGTCATCTGTAATATTGTCATCTCTAAATAATAGCAGTTATATATTTATTTTGACATTTTTCGGCAATGCTGTGGTCACAAGCTGAACAAAAATGCTGTTCGCTCATGCTGCATGCGCCACCCTTGGTTGCTCCAACAGTACTGTGGCTCTCACGTCCGAGAATATTGCCCACTATTTTTTTTTAAATGGCGTCTGTTTACAATAGCCCTTTGGAAGCTAATGTGAACCCCGTGTAGCCGTGGGCCTTTTGAATCGTGCCTGGTACCCTATGGCGTATATATACGCTATGCGCACTGTGGGACATGTTATTCATAGCGTATATATACGCCATGTGCAGTTTAAGGGTTAAAACCCCCAAAATCTAGTATTGTTTTGGTTTTCCTTCTTACCGGTGGCTATCTTGAATGTTGTTGTCTGTTCTATGAACACTAGGGGCAACTTTTTCTCATACAATTTTTTACTTCACTTGGTACATTTGTGTTATCTCGCCTGTTTTTCCAAAGCACAACACTTTTATGTTCCTTGGGACACCACTCACTATCATCAACCTGTACTACAATACTTAGGAACTGTAAAATATCCTGAGCTCCTCTGATGCAGGTGTTATCATTAGGGGTGTCACCTTTTGAATCTAACCTGTGTACAGTGCCTACCCACCAAACACTCGACGAAAGTATGATGCTAGAATGTTGGAACAAGTTTTAACACCTAACAAGTTGTAACAACCAATATAGCAAATTGTAACAACATTCTAATATGTCATAAAAACAGTATAACAATATGTAACGGCTTTTATTACAAGTTGTAACAAGCAGAAAATAGACAGTTGCATTGTGTGTTTGCAGGGTGGTATGCAGAGTATTTTAGGCATAACAAAAATTAAGAAATCTATATAAGCTTAATTCTCACAGTTTTAAGAATTACCCATATGGGGTAATTCTTAAAACTATGTGAGAATATATAACAAATTTATGAGTTGGGGAGAATTAGAGTTAGAAAATGATTGATAAATATTATATAGTATAATATTTGGAAATTTTGGAAATTGAAAAGTTTGCAACTGTACAGTACATAGTAAGAAATTTTAAACTGAATTAGAGATTAAACAGATGAAGTGCAGTTTTAGTGTTAAATTTTGACATGGCATTTATTAATAGGAGTACAGGTTTAGTTCTTTATTTTTTATTTTTTTATTTACAAGACGGTACATTGGGCTAGGGAAGTATATCACAGTGGTTTTCTTACATTCTTGCAAAGTTAATAATGATTATTAGTTAACTAATGATAATAACGATCATTAACTTATTAATGATCAATAATGATTATTATTAATGATTGTAATAATAGCAATCACAGATTGACATGTAGGTTGTGAAGAAGTGAGTAAGAGTCACAGTTAACAACATTAACTTGCAGGAGATTGATGAAGAAAAGGACCTTGTAGTCAGAATCCACCATTCACAAAGAGTTGCACAACAAGTGAAAGCTGGAAAAAAAAAATGCTAACCAAACCCTAGGAATAATCAAGCAAAATTCTAACTTTAAGAAACTGAAGGTAGTTATTCAACTGTATAAATATCTGGTGTGCTCCCACTTGGATTATTATATACAAGTACAGAGACCTAATCTTCAGAAAAACATAGCTGCTTTAGAGAAAGTTCAACACTGGGCAACAAAAATCATTCCAGAGCTAAGTTGACTCTCAAACCAGGGACAGCTGAGGGTCACAGGGGAACAACACTGCAAACCAGCCATGACAGGGATGATCTCATCAAAACTTTTAAAATGCTGAACAATTTGGAGGATATTGATCCAGACAACTTCTTTAAATGATTAGATGTAACAAAAACATGGAGCAGTGGTTTCAAGCTCAAGAAACCACAATGTAGGTCAGAAAATAGGAAATGCTTTTTCACCCATAGGATTATAAACCCATGGTACTGCCTTCCCGCTGAATATCAAAATCCAGCTCGATAAAATCATCAGGATGAACAGTACCACCCTTGACAAGCCACCGGCTTCCTGTTCTCATTGAGGTCACTAGAGAAATTTTGGCCCTCGGGTAAATTCGGGTAAAAGTTTTTGATCGTGGCCAGGTTTTGGCTCTGGTCCTTGGTAGGCCAAACAGAACAATTGCATCTGATATGACTCATCAGGGAGCCACTGGGGCTCATCCAGAAAGAGGTGTTTCAATACAGTCAATGCTGGGTGTTTGTCTTGTGTACTACAACTAATAATGCCAACATGTTCTGGCCTGTTTCAGTATTTCAAAATAATAAACACTTGGATCACCATCTGCTTTTTGAGTGTTGGTGATTGCTTTTCTGTCAGCCCTAGTTTCTTGAAATATATTCATGGGGTATTCACAGATTTAGAGACTGAGATACCCAGGTCTAGTTCCATTTTAGGGTTGACAGGCAGCCTTAGCTGCCTTTGCCGGTATCATGATGTTGGATATTACCTACCTGAGACAGTATCCATGCAAAGATTCTGAAACCCTTTGCTCTGTGCATCAGTTACATTATTAATAATTTATATTAAAGCTTTTCTGATATCTGCATTACTAATATTTTGCATATGAGGGTTTCAAGTGCAGGAAAAGCTGATTTTGATTCACAGATGATTACTACTATTATGTTTTTAGTGTATTACTGAGAGTAAAACATTCTTCACATCCTATTTAAACCTTGATTCTGAATCTCTTTCTATATTTGTCTTGCCCATTACAACTAATAAGGCCAGCATTTTCTGTCCTGTTTCAGTATTTCAAAACAATAAACACTCGGATCACCATCACCTACTTGGAGACGTGGTCGGGCAGGAACCTGGTTGACTTTGGAAGAAATCAACCCATTTTTTCAGCCCTTATCAACTTTTATGGCTATGTGGGTGAAAAACTCAACGACTTTCATAAAGACACGTCCCATTTGATTACGTGAGTAGGGAGGAGAGCAAATAAGTGTGAGAGAGGAAGTATAATAGGATATATGTTGAGAAGAAGCTGGCATAATGTGATTTTTATATCATATGTGATATCACTATCTATATGTTTTTTTATATTAAAGCATTGCAATTTATATTTTAATATTTTCATAATACAGTAACACCTCGGCTTACGAATGCCCCTCTACGAACTTTTCGGATTACGAGCCAAATTTCGTTGTAAAATCCGAATTGGGTTACGAATTTTGCCTCGGGAAATGAAGTTCCTTGATATGCGTATGGCCAACCTAGCGCATTGTTGATACAGTGACTGCACCTCAATTTACCAGTGCCTCCTGCCTAGTGACAATTGCGCCTGAATTCTTTGCAAAGAATTTCAGTTTTTTCTTAATTTTTGGTTATTTGAACATAAAAGTTATTATATATCTTGCCATGGGTCCCAAGAAAGTCAGTGATAAGGTTCAAGGCAAGAAAACCCATGTGAGAATGACCATAGAAGAAAAACAAGAGATCATTTGTAAACATGAAAATGGTACACGGGTTGTTGAACTAGCTAGGCTGTACAACAAATCTGTCAACGAAATGCACTGTAATTTCCAAGAAAAAGGACATTATGAGTGCTAAAGTTGCAAATGTTGATGGTTTCAACAATCACGAAACAAAGACCGCAAACACGTGAGGATGTTGAGCAGTTATTAATTTGGATACACAACAAGAAGTTAGCAGGTGATAGCATTTCAGAGGCCATCATTTGTGAGAAAGCAAGGCAATTGCATGAAGACCTTTCAGCCACTGTGCTGCGCCAACCGAGAAGACTTGGTCGGTGGGAAACTGCGCCAACTGAGAAAACGCCTTTTGAATATTTCGTACCCATTCAAAGCGAGTGCATGGTAGGTTGTATACGAAATGGACTCTTAGGACCTCCAGTGAGAGGTAGCCATCTTGAAAAAATTCCCAGAATGTCCTAGGGCTGCTGGCTTGGTTAGTACTGAGTGAGTAACGATGGGTGGCGCACGTGCTTCTGGCTCCCTAACACCTGTCTGATGCGGTGTTAAAAGATGACGGTGAAATTCAGACCTTATTGTTTGAAGAACATAAGGGTCATGATATTGATGAAGCTAGGTGCAATAAGGACCTAACACAAAGGTCGGATAAAATTGAGACAGCACCGATGAAGATGATACAGCAAGCGTATCAAGTTGTAGTTCTGAGCTCCATTCTTGCCTCCCATGCCATCTCCACTTTTGTAGATGATACATAGATGACTCATTTTCAGGGTTCAATGATGATGCATCTGATACAAGTAGCATAGATGAACATTGTTAGCATCTTCCATGGTGGGGTTTTCCATAGATATTTTTAAGAATAGCTGAATCTCTTCCAGAATGGCTGAATCTCTTCCTGATTGACCGATTCTTTTCCAGAATGACTGAATCTCTTTCAGTGAGAGACCTTACAAAGCGATCTTTTTAAGACTACCTTACAAATTGATCTTTTCTTATAATCTTTTCAAGAATGCTTTACAATCTTGGCTACGTACCACCTACAGGTACAAAAGCAAAGGGTGTACGTGAATGTGTTATTTGCAAACACACAGAATGAAGAAACAGGAAGCTAAAATCTATCTATACCTGATGCAATGAGAGTGAAGTCGCGCTGTGTATCATGGACTGCTTCATTGATTATCACTCACTTCCGAAGTACTGAATGTGTAATACAGTGTGTTACTGTATAAATAGTGTGTAAAACTGAACATATTGTAATTTTAGTGATTTTTTAACAAGTAATATTACAACAATAAACATTTATTGTGGACATATTACTAACACATGTATCACAGTTCCATGGAACATTATGAATGTTCTACTGTATACATATTGTAAAGGACACAAATATGCATCATATACGATAAAAAAAAAAACAAATAAAACCACATTGGAAATACGTAGAACAAATAATTGAAAATATATTTGTGGCAACTCGTGGTATTGAATGGCCCGTGTGACTGCCTCTGGGAGCTTCACGCATGGGCAACCAGCCCGTGACGCCCCCTTCACCATGTCCCCACAGCGAAAGTAAGTGGAATTTTTTATTTTATTTTACATGTACGTGTTCAGGGAAGGGAATTCATCATTTTACAAAGATCCCACCCCAAAAATTGCAAACACTTGATTTTAAGCGCACAAGGGGAATGTTACAAGGATGTTGTAACTGTAATGTAACATGTAAAGGGGAATGTTGCCTATGAAACAAGAACGAGGACTTTTGGACATGCAGAATTATGAACCTCATTCTGGAGACATTTTTGTATCAACACATCAAGCAGGCCACAAGAATGAGTGAAGATGTACCGTCAGTATTGGATCTAGTATTCACCAGGAAAGAAGAAGAGATATTTGACATCCAGTATGTTCCTCCCTTGGGAAAGGGTGATCACGTCTTGTAAGACATTAAATATGCTTTAAGATATCATCTAGAAGAAAATGGGGACATTGAAACAGTTGATAAACTCAATATAAAGAGAGGTCACTATGGGAACTTAAATTTTTTTTAATGAGTGTAATTGGACAGACTTGCTGCTAGGCAGGGAAGTAAATGAAATGTATGCTAAATTTTGCAAAATATACGATGAAGGCACACAAACATTCATACCAAAACAGAGATGCAGGGCCAGAAAACAGGATTGGTTCAACAGAAATTGCGAGAGGGCCAGAGACCAAAAGACACAAAAATGAAATCAATATAGGAAGAGGCCAAACCCCCTAAATATACCAGCAATACATAGATGTGAGAAACAACTATACGGCAGTAAGGCGAGAGGCAGAAAGAAATTTTGAAAAAGGGATAGCGGATAGATGTAAAACAGAATCGGGCCTATTCTACAAATTCATAAACAACAAATTGCAGGTAAAGGATAATATCCAGAGGTTGAATATGGGGAAACAGATTCACGGAAAATGAAAAAGAAATATGTGAAACAATAAACAAAAAGTTTCAAAGTGTGTTTGTACAAAATGAAATCTTCAGAGAACCAAACACAAAAAGAATTCCAGAGAACAACATAGAGCGTATAGAGGTGTCTAGAGATGAAGTGGAAAATATGCTAAAGGAGCTAAGTAAGAACAAAGCAGTTGTCCCAGATGGAGTTTCACCATGGGTTTGAGAGAATGTGCATCTGAGCTCAGCATTCCACTTCACCTGATCTTTCAGGCATCCCCGTGTACAAGAGTCATAGCAGACGTGTGGAAACAGGCTAACATAATTCCAATCTACAAAAGTGGCAGCAGAGAAGACCCCCTCAATTATAGACCTATATCTTTGACAAGTGTAATAGTGAAAATATTGGAAAAATAATAAAAACTAAATGGGTAGAACACCTGGAGAGAAATGATATAATATCAGACAGACAGTATGGTTTTCGATCTGGAAGATCCTGTGTATTGAATTTACTCAGTTTCTATGATCGAGTCAGAGATATTACAGGAAAGAGATGGTTGGGTTGACTGCATCTATCTGGACCTAAAAATGGCTTTCGACAGAGTTCCACCTAAGAGGTTGTTTTGGAAACTGGAAAATATTGGAGGGGTGACAGGCAAGCTTCTAACATGGATGAAAAATTTTCTTACTGATAGAAAAATGAGGGCAGTAATCAGAGGCAATGTATCGGACTGGAGAAATGTCACAAGAGGAGTACCACAGGGTTCAGTTCTTGAGCTGGTGATGTTCATTGTCTACATAAATGATCTACCAGTTGGTATACTGAATAATATGAACATGTTTGCTGATGATGCTAAGATAATAGGAAGGATAAGAAACTTAGATGATTGTCATGCCCTTTAAGAAGACCTGGACAAACTAAGTATATAGAGCACCACTTGGCAAATGGAATTTAATGTGAATAAATGCCATGTTATGGAATGTGGAATAGGAGAACATAGACCCCACACAACCTATAAATTACGTGAGAAATCTTTAATGAATTCTGATAAAGAAAGAGATCTAGGGGTGGTTCTAGATAGAAAACTATCACCTGAGGACCACGTAAAGAACGTTGTGCGAGGAGCCTATGCCACGCTTTCTAACTTCAGAATTGCTTTTAAATACATGGATGGCAAAATACTAAAGAAATTGTTCACAACTTTTGGTAGACCAAAGCTGGAATATGCAGCGGATGTATGGTGCCCATATCTTAAGAAGTACATCAACAAACTAGAAGAGATGCAACGACATGCTACTAAGTGGCTCCCAGAACTGAAGAACAAGAGCTATGAGGAGAGGTTAGAGGCATTAAATATGCAAAAACTAGAAGATAGAAGAAAAAGAGGCGATATGATCACTACGCACAAAATAGTAAGAGGAATAGATAAAATTGATAGGGATGAATTCCTGTGACCCAGAACTTCAATAACAAGGTCATAGATTTAAATTAATTAAACAAAGTTGCCGCAGAAATATAAGAAAATTCACTTTTGTAAACAGAGTGGTAGACGGTTGGAACAAGTTAGGCGAGAAGGTGGTGGAGGCCAAAACCGTCGGTAGTTTCAAAGCGTTATGACAGTGCTGGGAAGACGGGACACCACGAGCGTAGCTCGTGGTGTCCCGTAGCTACACTTAAGTAATTATACTTGGGTAATTACACAGCCCGGTATAGCTCCAGGGAGCCGAAGGGGCTCTCCACAGAAAACCATTGTAAAAACATTAAAAATGCCTGTATGAAGAAACAGTATGTTTCATTGTTCTAAGAATATAATATGGTGCACATTGGTGACAGGAATTTATTTGAACATTCTGATGTTCAACACATATTATTATATACATTTCTCAAATGACACACTATTGAATAATATTACTGGAAAAAAAACAAAATACCAATCAGTAACTGAAATGAATATGCAAAAATATCTTCAGCAACTCCTGCCCTCGCCTGGCCCAGGTAAGTTATTCACAAGGTGATCACTCCATGAACATTCGTAAATTGTGACTCATCGCAAG